TCTGTTCTATTTTCAAGAAATCCAAGTTGCAGCAAGGAGAAGTCAACCTAAATGCTATGGATTTTGATTGACATACAAATAATAACTTCTAATACCATAGACTCGTTGAGAATAAAACTCGTTTGAGTATCAGCACTAGCATCGCTCCTGAGCACAATTCCCAAAGCTGCGGCAGTAGTGTTCAGCTCTCGTGACAAAGATCTCATGAGATAACTCAAATAATCCAGTTGTTTATATACAGGTGTGATAGACAAGAAATCTCTTGCATACGATCTGGTAGCAAGATTTTGTAGAACTATTACGTTGTGATACGCTCCCACATTGGTTCACGAGATTGAAAGTGAATTAATGCCCTCTCCAGCTCTCTGGCTCCTTTAGGTGCTATGCACGGAACAGTAGCTGTGGTAGGAAGAAGGGAGAAAATCTGGAAAATAGATATATGTAGAGTAGATGTTGATTGAAGATGTTGTCTATTATTTATGAATGGTGGGTCTTAGTTTAAATTGCAGCAGTAGTTAGTCAATTTTTCAAATTTGAATATTATGCGTAATTGAGCGTAAAGAGTAAGTTCTTTCGTACCTGCTCGGCCATTTTCGCAAACTCCTGCGCGTTTTCTGCCAAAACCTGCACTTCCTTTATTACAGGAATACGATGCCGTGGTATGACATCCAAGGCTCGCTAAAAATTCCGAGATTAGATAATGCCAGAAAATATTTACTAACCGGAGAAACGCAAATAGGTAATTTCTGTGAGATTTCAAGTGGGGAAGAAGATATGTCGGTTAAGAAACATACCTCTAAGACAATTACAAAAGTACTAACTACATAGAGTGAAGCCTTGTGTTAGCTGATAAGTTTTTCAAAACCTCTACAACCAACACTTGGATTTTATACAATCCAATTTGCAATATTCTCCTCAAAATTCGACACAAACATTAATTTGTTCGCAAAGTCAGTGAAATTGTTGCTGAATGCGATGTTTCCGGTCAGGAAAACCTGAGAAGGGTACGATTTGGGTGTTCACCGAATTACACATTTTTCGAATTAGCTTCTTTGA